AAGGCCAAGCCGCACGTGAAGCGGCCCATGAACGCCTTCATGGTGTGGGCGCAGGCGGCTCGCCGCAAGCTGGCGGATCAGTACCCGCACCTGCACAATGCCGAACTCAGCAAGACGCTGGGCAAGCTGTGGCGGTGAGTGCACTGTCCCGAGGCCAGGGGCGGGGAGTGGGTCCTGGGGTGCGCGGTGCTGGGACGTGGCGCAGCGCCCGGCCTCGGCCCTGCTCCCAGTGGCTGTTCCTAGGGCGAGTCCTAGTGGAAAAACCCGATCTGGCCAGGCGGGACGATCGCGGGGTACTGGGCGGTCTGGGCAGGCAGAGGGGAGTAGGAACGGTGTGCAGCCCCCAGCACATCCCCCGAGTCCAGGAACAGCCTACTCTAGACCAAGCTTGGCAGGCAGAATTGGAGACCCCAGCTGTGAGTGGTCCCAGAGCTTGGAGGCCTGTCTTCACAGAGAGGTGGCTTCTGTTTGGAAGCAGGACACAGCTCTCCCTCTACTCTGCCACCCCTGCACCCTCAGCAGGGAAGGAGGGGGATGGCGGAGTGTCCAGCACTTGTGGACACTTTGGCATGATGAGACTGGCCATTTTGCAGAATCTAGGGCAGCAGTAGTGATAGGGTTGCTGCTCTGGACAGCTGGTCCCTACCAAACACTTGGATTTAAAAGGCACAGCTCTTGAGTTCAGGGTCCTGGTCCCTGTTCCCTGCTCCTCACCTCATGAGTGGGCTCTCAGAGCTTCTGTGAATGACTTCAATGCTCCTGTCTTTGTCCAGAGTGGGTGTTGCGGATCGTGGCAGCCCCATGCCTCTGTACCCCTATACCCTGTCTCACAAGCAGTTAGAGGTGAGCTTCTGGAAGGCTATGAGGGGCCAGTGTGTGTTTTGAGCCTCAGTGAGGACTGCTGGGTTTTGCCAGTGTTTCTGGAGGTCTGGGAAGCCCAGCTGCCCACAGAGTCCCAGCTTAGTTCCTGGGAGCCTCACTTTGTCCACAGGGTATTCTCAGCTAAGTCCTGGCCTCTTTCCCTGCCTGCCTTAGAAAGTCCCAAAGGGAGAGGACAAACACAGGCTCACAAAGGAGGGAAGTAAGAGGAGGAAGAAAAAAGTGGGAAGGTTTGGGTCTTGTTCTGGTTTGTTCCTCTGACCTTACTGAATGGCCCCCGTGGCTTGAGTCCTCCAGTCCTTCGAGATGGGGAGCGCCTGTCTGATGACCGTCGAGGCTCCCTGGTCCTCCCCAACACCTCAACTAGTGCACAGGCCAGCCCCCTGGGGCATCTCAGGCCCCCTTGCCACCCTGCTTTTGCCCTTCCCCCTGCAGCTTGCTGAGTGAGAGTGAGAAGCGCCCATTTGTGGAGGAGGCAGAGCGGCTGCGGGTCCAGCACAAGAAGGACCACCCAGATTACAAGTACCAGCCGCGCCGGAGGAAGAGTGTGAAGACTGGCCAGAGCGACTCAGACTCGGGCGCTGAGCTGGGCCACCACCCCAGCGGTGCTGTGTATAAGACTGATGCCGGCCTTGGTGACACGCACCACCACGGTGACCACACAGGTGAGCTCCTGTGGGTGGGGAGCAAGGGCTCACTCCCAGGGAAGATCCCCTCAAGAGAGCCAGACCTTCCCCATGTGCCCCGACAAAGCCCCCATAACCCTGAGAGGCAGTCGTTTCTGACGCCCACAGGGGCCTCTTTAGCCTCCTCTGAGAATGAGGGTCTGATAGCTTGCCTTGGTCCATAGTCCTGTGACCTGGGTGTTTTTGTCCTTCTTCTTGGAGATGTTTCTGCTCTCCTGGCCTTTTTGCTGGTTCTGACCTAGGACTCACTCATGCCACCAGCAAGGTGGTCAGCAGCGCAGTTTCAGGGTCAGACTGACCAGGGTGGAGTCCTGGCCAGCCGAGTAGTCTCAGTCAAGCTGGCTAAAGCCATGGACCTGGGGAGACAGGTTTTGTGTGGATAGTGTTGCTGCTGGAGACGCAGGGCTTGGCGCTTCCTCTCCTTTCCCCTACCTTGGTCTTCACAATCGGGCCTCCTGGGCCCCAGGTCCTCCCCTAGAACAGCGCTTAACGGAATTTCCTTGGACGAGGAGTGAGGTCTGGGTCTGGCTTTGCTGGAATTTCTGGGAGACATGTGGGAACAAAAAGCCGTTGATTCCTACCTGCGGCAGTTAGCGGGGCTGGTTTTCCTCCTGTGTGCATGTTGCCAGCCCCGCCGCCCCCCACAGAAGGGGCATTCATCCCTGAAATGTGCTCTGTCCCCAGGGCAGACCCACGGGCCGCCCACCCCGCCCACAACCCCCAAGACGGACCTGCACCACGGGGGCAAGCAGGAGCTGAAGCTGGAAGGGCGCCGCCTGGCGGACAGCGGACGCCAGAACATCGACTTCAGCAACGTGGACATCTCTGAGCTGAGCAGTGAGGTCATCGGAAACATGGACACCTTTGACGTCCATGAGTTTGACCAGTACCTGCCCCTCAATGGCCACTCAGCCCTGCCCTCAGAGCCAGGCCAGCCTGCGGCCACTGGTTCCTATGGAGGTACCTCCTATTCGCACTCCGGGGCGGCTGGCGTCGGGGCGTCCCCCGTTTGGGCCCACAAGGGAGCCCCGTCGGCCTCGGCGTCACCCACTGAGGCGGGCCCCCCGAGACCGCACATCAAGACGGAGCAGCTGAGCCCCAGCCACTACAGCGACCAGTCGCATGGCTCTCCAGGGCGCACTGACTACGGCTCCTACAGTGCCCAGGCCAGCGTCACCACGGCCACGCCTGCTGCGGCTGCCAGCTCCTTTACCAGTTCGCAGTGCGACTACACTGACCTGCAGACCCCCAACTACTACAGCCCATACCCCAGCTACCCGTCTAGCCTCTACCAGTACCCCTACTTCCACTCGCCCCGCCGGCCCTATGCCTCACCCCTGCTGGGTGGCCTGTCCGTGCCACCTGCCCACAGCCCCCCCAGTAACTGGGACCAGCCCGTGTACACCACCCTGACCAGACCCTGAGGGCACACAGCCGCGTGGAGGGATCAGCGTCTGGGGAGGACAACCTTTATCTCGGCAAGGACAGAGCCTCCCTCTGAAGGCTTCCAGAAGGTGTGCGAGGCGAGGGGAGGAGAGGTGGTGCCTACGTGTGCCACGGCTCCATCAAGTGCCTGCTGGAGTCTGCGGGAAGCCATGCTTTGTAAACGACTCCCCTCCGCTTCCAGATTTCCAAACTCTCATCCACGGACAAAGCCCTCTTTCCCTTCTCTCTCTTTGTGGCAACTGCAACTCTGAAGGACAGCCGTTGGGTCCTTCTCTGAGCAGACCCAGCTTCTGGGTTTTGCATCCCAGAGGATGCAAACCGGCAGCCACAGCACAAAGGACAAAAGGAGTGAAGAGGCGTGAGGTCTCCAGGTTGCCCGAGTTCTGAGGTCCCAGCCAGCCTTGGCACTGAGAACTCCCCAGGACTAACAACCTGCATTCCCGTGGCGAATCGGCAGCCACAGCCCGGCGGGGATACAGGGATGCGCCCGCAGGAGCACCTCTTGGGACCAGCCTGTTAGACCTGAGGTGTTCCTTATAGTTAGGGTTCTTCCGAGCAAGGTTTGGCTGTGATTAACATTTCTCTCTTTATTTTATTTTTTTAATTTTTATTTTTGAAGCTTAAATGTGTTTGATTTGTTTGGGAAGCCATTAAAATGTATTTATGTTCTGTATTATTTTATCTTTAATTAATGAAGTTATCTGTGCAGAGAGTAGAATTTAAGACAAAACGGAAGCCAGAGGGCCTAGGGTGAGGGGGCTGGGGCCGGTGTGGGGCCAGTGAGGGTGGAGGCCCTGGCTCTGGGTGTTTTAGAGGCTGGCTGCTGGGAGATGTCAGGGAGAGCCCTAGCTCCAGGCCCCCAGGAGGTGGCCAGGACCCCAAGGCAGAAGAAGGGATTTGTCTTATGGTGTCTCTGATCAGGTTGGTGTGCCCTGGCACCCAGCAGTAAGTCAAGGCTTAGAAGGCAGGGCACCATTGAATTTCATCCCTGCCCACAACCAACTGTGCCAAGTGGTGGAGGCGGGAATTTCCTGGGACGTGGTGGCTTCAGAAACGCATTAATCTCGGCTCTTAGGAACCAGGCGCCACCTACAAGCTGTGAAACTAAAACCTTCTCCACTAAGCGATTTTAGAGTCTTAGTTTTAGAAGAATAATACCTGATTTACCTGTCCTGCTTCCGCTGTTTGCTGAGCAATGATAACTGCCTACTTTCTGGAAACTTGTGCCTTTAAAACTTTGTAAATTTAAGTACATCTCAGAAGTTGTTTCTTTTTACTTTTTCTACTTTTTCCTACCTTTTTCTAGAAAAAAAATTTTTTTTTTGGTGTATCTCTTCCTGGGGGTGGGGGCAGGGAACTGCAGCAAACTCATTTTTATGCAATCTATTTTTCAGTGTTGAGTTTGGACTTTCGCTGTCACTTACCTGCTGTGTTTCGCTACTTTCTGACCAAGCAACGCTAACTTTTGTACAGATCAATTTGATAAAATTAAAAAATACATTTTATCTACATGGGCTGCGTGGCATGTGTTGCTTTCTGTAAGCCTGGGGAATGCGGGTCTCTGAGACTGTGGGGTTTTGTTTTGAAGGGGCTTGGCCAAAGCAGGAGTGGGCTCTTCGAGGGTTAACCCCAGGCTCCCCGGGGAGGGTGTGGGGTGGGGGGATGCGGCCAGACCACCCTCCCTCTCCTGTGCTGTATCTGAACTTGAACAGGACAGATCTCAGAAGCTGGCGCTGCGTCTTCCTTCCCCTGGGCCTCCTCAGTAGGCAAAACGGGTCCAGATGGGCCAGATTCGGGGCCGCGGTTTCCTCCCAGGCGAATCCCAGAGCTGGTTTCTGGGTGGCTGACGGCATTTTTCGGGCGCTGGCTCAGGGCCAGGCTGGGAGCTGGATAAAAGCCGCCCTGCAGGCACCGGGCAGGGCTGTCTGGTTGGTGGAAAGGGTTTCTAGGGAGAAACGGTTGTGGGAGCAACAGCAAGTAGGGGCAGCCTTGCTCCCCGGCTGGGCCTCCCCAGCACACGTGGCCAGTTCGGGGGCTTCACGGGCCTGGAGGGTGGTGCCCACCTCTGAGCTGTGCAGATGCATCTGGGGGTGAGAGGAAGATTATGCTTCTCATGAGAACCCAGATATGCCAGGCAGCTGCCTCTGCAATCTTAATGGGGTGGCCCCGGTAGGGGGGCATGCACCCCATCCCCTTGCCTGCCCAGCCGCCTGCGTGGCTGCAGTCCAGGGCGCGTCCCTCGTCCCGCGCTGGGGAGCCACGACCAGGGCCTGCCAAGAGCAGTGTTTGGAAAGAGTTGCCCGGATTTATGAGGGTTCGTGAGGCCAGTGTGTGCCAAGCATCCCGGGTGAGGCGAGCCTGGGAGGGGGCTGCAGAAAGCTGGGCTCATGGATGCCCGCAGCCTTTGCAGCCTGCCGCCTGCGTGGAACCAGCCCAGTCTGTCCTGCATCCAGCCAAGGGCTGTCCAGGTCCATATGGCCCTCTGAATTCTCACATTGACACCCCAAACCAAGGAAAGCCCCCGGCGTCTAGTTTGCTGACAGAGGGAGCAAGGCCTCCCTTTGCTGCTCTGGGATCTCTCAGGCCTTGCCAGGTTCCCGAGGGCTGGCAGCTCTGCCAGTGTTGTTTGGACTTGGAGGGGCTCCTGCGTGTTAACTCCCGGGGGCCCGGTCTTCTTCCTACTGACACACCCTGTGTAAGAGCCCCTATGGCCCTGGGTCCTGGGTGAGATTTGCGTGGGTTTCTTACATCTGAGCTTGTGCAGCCCCAAGGGAGAGGGAGGACGGCTACACCCATGCCTGGGCCAAGGGCACAGAGATGCCATGCCCCACACTTTGCCCCTCCAGGGCCCTCCCCTCTCTGGAGGTTGTGTTGGTGTCCTTTCCTTTGGGAGCATTTCGGGCATTGTGGACTGACCCCATGGCCAAGGGCCCTGGGGGTTGTGGAGTCTCTGTCTCCCCAAATGCTGAATGCCCTGGTTACACTTTGAGAAGGGAGCCAGGGGTGGACGCCCCAGGGGTCAGGGCGGCTGGGATGGGTCCCTGGGCTGCCCCGGTCTTCAGGTTGGCGAGGGTTTTTCCAGCAAGCTCCCAGCTGACAACGTTACTCACAAGATTGGCCTTGCCCCGCCTTGCCCCAAGTCCAAGGGAGCATTTGCTCAAGCTTGTTCAGAGTCCCGTTCTCACTGAGACCATTCTATCTGCCCATCCCAGGGACAGGCTGGCAGGAAAAGTTCCTCATTTTTCACTTCCTCACCCAGAACAGAGCACGTTGCCTCTGATCTCTCCTGTTCACGGAGAGAAAGGAAATGGCATTCAAGATCCAGGCCTGCTCCGATGCATCGGAAAGGCCCCACGGTTCACAATCAGTCTTCCTGGGATATCAGCTTTCAGAAGTGGATTTTCTGTCTGGATGTGCATTCACGGCTGGTGTGGCTGTCGGCTCCAGAGAGGGCCTATGTTCTCTGAGCAGCTGCCTGGGGAAGGCCCGTAACCTTGCTGTGACTATGGGCCGTATTTATGGGGACAGCACCCAGGCTGGGCATCACAGACTTGGGGTTCTGGCCTGGTGTGGAACTCAATCTTTCCTCCCCTAAGTCCAGCCTGACCCAGGACTGAGGGTCTCTGTGGATGCCATCTCTGACCCACCAGGTTTGCAGGGGCTGTGGTCCCCGGCATTGGGCAAGCCTGGGGGATGTGTTTCTGGGTGGTGACTTGATGGCCACTGGACAGTAGGCAAGCCCTCACACCATGTGTGGATGGCCTCCTTGGGCACAATCCAACAGGCTTCATGGAGAACCCATGCTGACCAGGACTCTGTTTGGAGGCCACAGAGCAAGCAGTACCAAATCCCCTACTCTCACCCTAGGGCCAGTGTAGACCCCAAGACAGGAGAGATGGGCTGCCTTGCCTGGCACTTGAGACAAGAAATCATTCTCAAAGAAGGAAACTTGTAACCATATGCTGCCCTCAACTACAATCACTGTGGCCCCCCTGGCCCAGACACTGCTTCTCCTGGAGGGAGCAGATCTGCAGACATCTTTTCAGGATGGGGCTGTGGGAGGCTTCCAAGGGGACAAGTCAAAGAGGGGAGGAGCAAAATGGGGAGATGCACCTAGGGTTCGGGCCCCACCTTCAAGTGAGGAACATCCTGGAGGGGAGAGTGGGTCCGAGGCCTGACCCTGAGAGGCTGGTGCTGCCTCCCTGGCCCCAGCCATGTGCCTGGGCATCTGGGCTCTGAACACTGCCCCGTCTTCTGCTTCTTCTGGCTGGCATTGAGGCAACTGGCCTCCCTCTGGGAGCCTCAGTTTCTCCACCTGTAAGATGGAAATAACCCCCTGGGGTGTTGGGGGTACTCAGTGGGATTAGGACCTGTCTATGACCGAGTATTTGCACAGCAGGGGAGGGTATGGCTCACGGTAGCTTAGCAAGCATAAGGTCCTGGGTTCAATCCCCAGTACCTCTGTTAAAAAAATAAATAAATAAACCTAATTACCTCCCCTCAAAAATTAAAAAAAATTAAGAAAGAAAATGGTTAGCAGAGTATCTGCACGGATGCCTGAGAGTAACTCTTGGTGCTGTTATTAGCACCTCCAATCGCGTGATGCTGCTTCTTGCTGTCTGCAGAATAAGCTGGTTCTGCTGGTAAGAAAATCAAGTAAAAGTGAAATGGATAGAGAACGTGCATTCAAAGGGCGGGATGCCCTCCTCCCAGCCTCACCTCTGGGACCCCTCCTGCTGCACCCATGTGTCCTCGAAGCTTCCCCTCAGGAAGGCAGGCTGGGCTGGGGGCTGGGAGTTCTGGCACTTGCCCGTTGACCTCCCTGTGCCTCAGTTTCCCCCATGACCATGTGATGGTGACGGTCTCACAGAGGCACCCTGAGGATCAGCACACGGACACAAAAGGCAGGAACCCTTCCTGCTGGCAGACTTGTCCCCAAACCCCTGGGGTCTTCTCTCTGTTCATCTCACTTCAGCCTCACAGTGACTCCCTCAGCCCATCCCCAGAATGTCCGGTGGAGACCTGGGCAGCTTTCCTGCCTCCCCTGCCCAGACTAGGGGTTCCTGTGTGAAACAGATGCCTCTCTCTGCACCCCCCAATCCCTGCTCTCCATAGCCCCTGCCTCCCCCAGGGGGCTGGGGCCAGAATGTGGGGCTTGGTCCACTGAGGCTGCCATGGGAAAAGCGTGGGAACCCTCACAAAGCTCCAGAGACTCCTTAACCTGGGCAGACTGGGAATCTCCCCAGGCAGGAGCTTTGCTCGCCGGCTCCTCGTGCCAGGGGGCAGCCAGTGGCCTCCCCCAGGACCCCGCAAAGGGTTAAGGTGCTGGAGGCCTGGTGGGAGTGTGGGCGTCCCGGGCGGGCAGGCAGAGCAGCCGGGCTGGTGCAGGGCCAAGAGCTCCAGCGAAGGCGCTGCATTTTAATGAATCATTATTGCCGGGGAGGCCTTTGTCTTGCTTTATCCGGTGCACAATAAAAGAATTAATTAGACAGAAAATGGCAGGGCAAGGAACTGACAAGTCATTAAGGGCTGCTGAATGACCGATGAGATGCACGCCGGGGTGGATTTCGGCTCCGGAATGATAATGGCCAGGCGGGTGCTTTGTATGCGCGACCAGCCGGCCTCTGTGCCGCATTGTGGGCGCTGCCATTGTGGCCGGCCAGGGCGGGCCAGCGCGGGCCTGACTCTCCAAAGGCCGAGCGGGCAGTGGGGATCAGCCGACGAAATCGATGTATTAATTTTTGTGTGCAGACACAGCGTAAATATTTGGACGCAGAGGGGACTCTGGGGTGGGCCTTTTGGCCCTGGGACTCGACTTCTCAGCTCAGGGGACAGGGCTGGCTGTGGGGGTGCTCCCCACCCTGTGAGAGGCAGAAGGCACGGGTGGGGGTAGGAGAAGGAGGGAGACGAGAGGAGAGGAAAGAGGAGGAGGTAGGTAAGGCGAGGAGGGGAGAAAAAAAAGAGAGGAGAGGGGAACAGGAGGGGAGGGAAGGAGGGAGGGGAGATGATGGGGGAGGGGAACCTTGAAGACCCAGAAGAAACTCTTCCCAGAGCCAGGCTCCGCCATCCTTAGCTGCTGCTGTCATGGTTATTTAGACGTCACCAGGGGAAAAGTGCCACCCACAGATCCGGCTCTCCCACCCAGAAAAATCCAGCTCCTCCGGGAGGGCAGGAGAAGAGAGCCTGTGAATTAGGCCTGCATCGCAGGGCCCGCGGGAGACCTGCCCCTCCCTGTGGTCCCCCGGGGGGCTGGGTTTGGAAACTGCCCAGCTCCCTGGTTTCCTGCTTCTTTATAGCAACTCCAGTGCCCCACCCCAACTCCCGGTGTAGTCTTAGGGATGAGAGGGAGGGGTGGTCTCCCCTGCCCAGAGTGATAGGAATGTGGGTGAACGAGGAAGGTGTGTCAGCTAGTCAGACGACGCCCCTTCCCAGGCTGGATGTGGAGGGACAGGTGAACCCACTGCTGGGACCCTCTGACCAGCCTGAGATCCTGGCAGGAGGCAACGGCAGCCCCA